GAACTTGGAGCGGAAAGGAGAGAAGAGGCTTTGCTGAGTCTCCCTTCTGCCTCCTCCCCCCCCCACTGCCTTCCCCACTCCACTGAATAGGCTGCCTGAAAGGAGGAGTGTAAACACACAGGTGGAAAGACAGACAGAGCAGGAGGAAGGCCAGATGGATGGGAAGAATACGAGAGCTGAAGGTTTCTGACAGTCACCAGAGCAAGCGAGAAAACCACACTCAATTTTGGCATCAGCTCTTTGGCTCCGATCATTTCTCCAGTTCACCAGACCCGCTCCAAGGCGGGGAACGTGCTGCAAATGTCATGAATGAATCACAGCGGGGAGATCAGCCTTTGCTCGCAGACAGCTCCGGGCTCTCGTTGTCCTTAGCTCACTCTATGGTGTTAGCTATGCAAACGCACCCTGCTTTTTTTAAACAGATAAAATCAGCCCTAAGCTTCCTCTTGTCAGTCACAGAAGTTAGGCGAGTCTCATTTTCCTTTTGAGGACATAAATGCCTTAAAAAAGCATCAAGCAGTGAAGTCATTTGTCAGGGTCAACCTATTCCTTGAGTTCTGGCTCCATCATGCGGCTGTTTCCATTTGCTCCTTCCTGGTAAAAGCTCCAATGTTTTGCCTAGAGAAACTAACCTTCAACCTTCCCAACGTTTACTTTCTCACTGGGTGCGTCTACAAGAGATGCTTTACTGCGCAGCGGACTAATTTGCTGCACAGTAAAGCATCACCATCTACACACGTGTGGCAATTAAGGTGCAGAAGATTAATTTACTACACTGCTGGATAGTCCTGTCAGATACAAGTGATGTTCGTCAGCACAGTAAATTACTGTATTTAACCGCACGTGTAGATGGCGACGGTGGGATTAATTTAGTAAACTAATCCTTATGTCATCATCTACGCATGTCTTTTAGGTGCAGTAATTTACTGAGGCGTAGGATAGCACTTGTGTCTGATGGGACTACCCAACGATGCAGTAAATTAATCTATTGTGCACTAATTGTGGTGCATGTGTAGACGGTGATGCTTTATTGTGCATTAATGTACAGTAAAACACGTGTACATGCACCCACTGAGTACCTCAAATAATATCTGCTCTCTCTCCAACCCTCCTCTCAAAGTTGGTTCATTGTACCTTGTATTCATTGGTTAAAATGGACAAACAGTAGGCCTGTGTGAGTCGGCAGCGATCCGATCCGGCTTCAGATCCGGATACTTTGGATGGCCGCGATCCGATCCAGAGCTCCGGACCGGGTTTCAGCCTCGCTCCGGCCGAAGCTTCCGAGCTGCCTCGGAGATCCGGCCATAGAGTATAATGGGGAATCAATGAAGTATCTATAACCTTGTTATTTTTTGTCCAGTTTGGATGAAACTTGCAGAGATGGTAGCCCCTGCTGAGAGCATGAAACCTGCCAAGTTTCAAGAAAATCGGTGCAGGGGTTTGGGGGAAACTGTACCCCAAATTATTGAAAGCCGAACCCATGTCACGGCTGTGTGTTACAACACAGGGGGGTGAAAACGGCAGGGCTGGTAGCTCCTACTGAGGCCACAAAGCCTGCCAAGTTTCAAGGAGATCGGTGCAGGGGTTTTGGGGGAACTGCCTCTAAAGCTGTGGACAAGCAAAACTCGTGCCATGGGTGACACTGCGTGTGCTAAGGCGCAGCGGGGTGACAGCTGCAGGGGTGGTGGCCCTGCTGTGACACCTGCCAGCTGTGGAGGAGATCGGTGCAGGGGGCTCTGGGGCCCTGCACCCCGGGCTGCTGACAGGCAAAACTCGTGCCAGGGGTGCTTGTGGGACTGGCCCTGTCTGCCTTGGGGCAGTTGATTGTCTGTATTGATTCTTCCCTCTCCTTAGTCTGGTTTTGTAGGTGCTAATTGATAGCAATTAACTGGCGACATAGCTAAGTACTGTGTATTGAGCTGGTCCCTGAGTGAATCATGACTGAGTGATTGGTAACTGGTAACACAGTAGCTTAGCAGCCAGGCCTGCAGTAATGTCTCCCCTGCCACAAAACAGAGACAGCGAGTCCCACAAGCACCTCTGGCACAAGTTTAGTCTGTCAGCAGCTCGGGGTGCAGGGCCCCAGAGCCCCCTGCACCGATCTCCTCCACAGCTGGCAGGTGTCACAGCAGGGTCGCCAGCGCTGCAGCTGCCCCGCTGCGCCTTAGCACACGCAGTGTCACCCATGGCACGAGTTTTGTCTGTCAGCAGCTTGAGGGCAGTTCCCCCCAAACCCCTGCACTGATCTTCTTGAAACTTGGCAGGCTTTGTGGCCTCAGCAAGAGCTACCAGCCCTGCAGTTTTGACCCCCCCTGTGCTGTAACACGTAGATGTGACAGGAGTTTTGCTTTCAAGAATTTGGGGTGCTGTTCCCCCTAACCCCCTGCATCAATCTTCTTGAAACTTGGCAGGCTTCATCCTCTCCACAGATTCTACCACCCCTGAAAATTTCATCCAAATCAGACAAAAAACAACAAAGTTATGGATATTTTATTTTTTCTACATTATACCCTACGGCCGGATCTCCGAGGCGGCTCCGAAGCGCTTCGGGAAGCCGAACGATGCGACGCTCCGACCCGGACGCGCTGCTTCCCACCCCGAAGCATCTGAAGCTTCTCTGGATCCGAAGCTCTGTCCGAAGCCTCGCAGAGCCCTAACAAACAGCACTGGAAAAGTTACTGTCCCACTGAGGACAAGGGCTCTAGCCATAACCCAGGCAGCTCTGTCTTAGGGTAGTATCCAACCCACTAAGCACCCTCCTTTTGGCTTGTTCTCTCTGCCCTGGCCTCGCATACCTCTCTATCTTGGCTGTTCAGTGACCAGCTAATACATTTGGGCTTGTTGAAACATCCTTTGAGCAGGTCTAGGTATGTTTGAGATGTTGCACTTGTTTCACAAGCTACCCCACCTCATCAATTTGTACTAAACCAGTGGGTCTTAACCTTTAAAAAATCAAGGCCCCCCTTGGAAAATGCAAGCTTGTAGCTTTCACTCATTTTTTACTACAGAAAAATAATAGAGCAATTTGTCTGTTGCAAAGAACTCAGAAAGACCACACCAGGGCAGAAATGTTTCTAACCCTTTGACTTCCTATTTGAAATCTCTGGATTTATCTTGTGAATCATGTTTGTGCAACACTAACATGTTTGCCACAGCATCCTGGTTGAGAATCACTGCACTAAACTCACAGAAGGCAGGCTTAAAGCCTCTTTAGAAGACAAGCCTATGATATGGTGATGTCAGAAAACCAGTGATATTTTCAGACCCAAGGGCCTTCTCATCAGCTATTCTGAAAAGCAGTTTTAGGAGCATTTTTGTTTTAACATTTTGTAATCTAGGAAAGAAGATGCTGTTTGTGGGAGTCAAAAACCTCTACACAGCCATTCTCTGCCAGGTGCACGGGAAGCCAGTGCTCTCCCAGATGCCCGTTAGCCACTAAATTCCAAGGCTGCAAAGACAGCCTGTTGCCCACCCCTCACTGAAGGGCACATCTAATCCTAAGAATGCCTCTTGTGCAAGGGCCCACTGATAAAGTACAAGATAATGTTGTGGTATCCATTTGCACAGGCAGTCAAACAGGATGTTTCTCCTTTGCTTTATCTCTATACTAAGGGAATCAAACTCAGCCTTTCTCCCAGGACAGAGCTGGATCCAGGAGCAGGGTGGGGCACTCCTTTGCTGATGGATTACCAGAGTACCAGAGCACCATCTTTCATAGGTTTACCAGCTGTCTGTGGTATTCATGTGCTCCCTCACACCATTCTCAGGCTTGCATTCTGGTTACAACAGTTTCTTCAAGACCTGGTCACCAGCTGATACAAAATTGGTATCACAATGGTTAAACCAGGTTTTAATGCAGCTTCAACTAAAACCATCATTGTCCATAAACCAAATGACAGCCAGTTGGGGTAACTGCCTGAGGAACACATTCTCCTAGATACTGACTCAGCTGGCTGTGGGGAGGTTGAACACTCATCTCCTCCCACCACCTATGGGCTGTTTGGCTTTGGCTCTGAACTGGGTTTCTGCGTGCCCCAGACAGATGCTGAGCAATACCCTGCCTTTAAGCACTCAGTGACATGGAACTAACTTGTAGTTGAAAATGCCTGGTTGGCATTTTGATGTGTTTTGAGCTTTTTGATGTGTAAATTTGATTTTCATACTCATGTCACTTTTTCATATACATGCTTTTCTCAATGCTGGCATGGAGCAGAGCTGATTCAAATGTGGTGCCTTCTGCAGACCTGCAGGGAACAAAATCTGCATTGATTAAAATGGATCCTTGTTTTGCTCAAAAGAGAGTGCTGCCTGTTTTCTTTTGGCTTCCTCTCAGTTTTCTGTTTGTGACTGAGCTGGCATTTTTAATGCCTTTCTTTTGGAAGCCTGTGTGGAGGGGAGACCTGTCATATGTGATGCACTTCTTTCATTTAAGGTTTCTCTTCTACTATACATCAATTTCAGTCCTTTTGTGAGGCTCTTGCACACCTCAGCTAGAAAAGCTTGGGAGATGTGGCATTATGAGATGGTTTGGAGAATTTTAATTAAAATACAGGTATTTTTGAAATTGGGCTTCACCAAATGCTATTATCCCTGTTAAAAGATGTAACATAGGCTGGAGTGGTGGGGTAAAGGAACCACAGCAGTTAAGTAGGTAGTGTTCATACTGCTTGTGTTCGTGTCTCAAAACAGCACCATTGCTCACTGAGGACCTCCCTGCCCAGCAGCAGTGCCAAGATTGCTTCAGTTCAGGCAATGGTATAATCTCTGACACAACACATCACCCAGGTAAGAAATCAACTGGCCCCAAATTTGGACTCCTCAAACCCTGGACAACATACTGTGCATGGGTATAAGAGAGGACGGTTTTGGCTAGTTGACTGTTTTTTAAGCAACTCACAGCCATGAGAGGGGGACTGGGGTTAAGACTATTGCCAAGTCATGCTGGGATCAGTGGTTTGGCCTTGCAGAGTTGATTTATTAAGTTGGCTGTCTCAAATTTATGCCGTCTTCCCTTGTTCTCTGCCCTGAAATGAAGTTTTCTTCAGAATCCCTGGACTCCAAGATAGTCAGTGGGGAAATACTGCTCCTCCTGAGTAACCAGACAGTGTGATTTATTTTCCCAGGTTTCTAGACAGAGCATGAGCCAATGTTGTTTGAAAGTCTTTGCAAGGAAGAGCTACCTAATTGAACCCAATCTTTTTTTCCGAGCAATAGCATTAGGGCTCTCTCGCTCTCTGAGGTTTCATGTGAGAAGTTGTTGGCAAGTACATGATTCATTCTCCGCTCCCTCTAGTGTTGGTGAGTTAGCATCTACAATGCAGCTCTTTGTGTTTATGCACAATGATAGGGTTGATAATGACTTGCACACTCCCACTGGGCAACCAGCCCAGCTGCTTTGTTATCATGAAACACACACATAAAAAGAACATCCCAACCCATCATCCAAGGCTCAGAACGTGGCTGGAAGACTTTGAAGGAGGGGTCCACTCATGATATACATGCAACAAACTCTATGGGAGTGGAAGTTGGAATACAGGGGACTGGACTAGTCTATCGTGACTTGATCTTGATGAGGTGTTGTAAGGTACTGGAACTCACCCCCTCTCTCACCTTGGCCCAGCATTCAATTTAGGGTAAAAATTGGTCTCTTCTAGCAGATAGCATGTCTGCTGGCCCAAGAAGCAGGAGACCCGAGTGCTAGGTCCCACTTCACCCAGAGAAGATATGAATCTACACCTCCGACTTCCCTAGTAGTGCTCACACCACCAGGCCAAAGGTCAGGCATTATGCATACTCTTAGAATCATAGAAAACACTTCAACACGCAGAAAACATTTCACACTTCTCTAACCATCCTGAAGTTGAACCCGATTGGTCAAACGAAGGAGATATGTGGGGCCAGCAGGAAGAGACCAAACTAGAAGTTGTGTGGCTCAGCAGAATTGTACTGCTCTGAAAATGTGCGGGTGTGGGGTTCTAGCCTGGACTGTAGCTCCCAACAGGGCAGGAACTTCTCCACTGCTTCCCTTCCACTGGTTATTTAAGTACAAGGGGCAGCAGCACAGCTTCAGTTGACTACCCCCACCCCTGTGATTGGACCCATAGCCCCAGACAACATTGTGCTAAGATGCTGTATTACTCTGCACCCTCTGAGTGGAAAGCTTAACAAGGCCCTGAGAATGGACAAACTTGTCCTGCAGAGAGAGAAGCTGCTTCTAGTCCATCATTAAAATGGGCAGAGCTAGGTGGCTGCAGGCTATCTGGCAAGCAGTACATGGGGCAGGTAGGTTTGTGGGATTGTGTATGGGGTTGAGAGGAGGTTATCTATGGGAATGAGATGAGGTGAGCCATGGAATCAAAGGGTGTTGTGGGGCAGGAGACATGGCAGCTGGAAGTAAGAAATGCCCATCTGTGCTGTTCAAAGCATGTGTATAAGTATGAGAAATGATATAACATTTCCCATGGTATCTTCTTTAGTTCAGAGCAGGACAGAAAACACTTTCAACAGAATCTCAATCAAATCAGGTCTCCAAAATTTCATGGATTTTATTAACGAACATATCCAAAGGAAAGAAGGGGAAAAGGGAACCAACTCTTTCCAGAGGTCATCTGTAAGATCTGTAACACTAATATGTTCTAAAATTCATAAATACAAAATATTGGTGCAGGTTTGTGGGCATGGGTCATTATTTACATGTCGTGACAAGCTGCTGGCTTGCTTTTGTGGAACAACATTACAAAGGCCATTACAGTGCCCCAATGTTTGTCTACGTGCTGCTGCCACCACTGCTCTTTCCAGAAGTCCCAGTCTTCTGTAGCCGGCTAGTGCTTGGTTGCCGAGGCATCCTTTGAGCAGATCCTTCCCGGCTGCTCCGTTCTGCCAACGCCTGGACTCCACCCACTGCAGAACTGGTTTTATTTCTCCCTGGATGGACAAATAAACATGTTAACTTTAGTGTCCCAATCTCACATCATGATCATGTTGCACCCACGCTGCTAGTGTTCCTTGGGACTTCGTGCAGTAGGTAAGATTCCATTAGATGTTGCAAATTAATCCAGCATCCAATGTAGGTAGGCAACGCATGAGCTGTAACTGAATTGATGTCAGGTAGCATAAAACCAAATCCAACTGCAGCAGTGGCACTGAATCATATTCAGCAGAATTGGTTTCACGGAGAAAATCGCACAAATGGCTTTGTTCTTTAAGTGAAATTGGTTTTGTGTGATTGCACAGGAACACCAGCATTGGAAATGGCAACTCAGGAAGAATTTAAAGAGCATCTAACATGTCATGATTGGGATATAAGCCAATGTCCCCAAGTCCATGCCTCTGCAGTCCAGTCACAGGGTCATGCTGAAACCCCTCTTGTTCAAGGCACTTTGTTAAAGACCTCTCAACTCCTGGGAGTTTTCTGATTGTTCTATGGCGCTTTCTGGCAGCTTGTGGGCTTACATTCATTGCATGGCTGCAGTGAGGCACCACTGACTGTTCATTATAAATACAGTGTTGCATTTGGGCTGTTGTCTCCCTGTCTTGTTAGGGTATTGAGAGGTGTTGCAAGATCAATGGCTACACAATGTACAGTAGCCTCCTTTGATGTCATTTGGAATGAATCCTGTTTGTGTTGCCAATCAGATAGGGAACTGTAGAAACTTTATTTCACTGTTGCATTACTTACCAAAAAAGTCTTTCCTATGTGGGACCATTGCTGTTCCCTGAAAGCCACTATTGTCAACAGCTTGCTGCACTAGAAAAAACACTCCGATGGCTTCCAAGGAACAAAAATGTAAATGGCCCATTTGCATTGGTAAACACTCTGACAAACAGGGAGAACAAACCCAGCAAATGCATTCACTGGTCTCAGACATGTCAGTTGCTCTTTAAGAAAAATCTATTATTGTAGACTTATTATCTACCAGCAGTTATCAGCCCAAAGCCAGCCAAACAGCCTTGCAATTTTTCTTCTTAGCCCAAGCTCAAAAGCACTTAAGCAACTTTACTAATGCAAGTGCTGTCAATGGAAGCACACAGACTGTACAGAGGAGAAATGTAACCTTATCCCATCTGAGCCAAAAACAAATTGACAGCAACAATTAAACACCAAGGTTTGCTATTTGACTTCTGGCAATCCAGTAGATGCTTTTATGTTTAAACACCATCTTCCTTCAAATGCATCCAGTCAACAGGACTAAGTCACTCCTTTCCTTAGGCACATGGCAGCATGTGTATCAAGCCATGTGCACTACAAAATGGGGATCTGAGCACACAAGGCTGGTATAACTAGCTGCTATTGGGAATTGGGCCTTTCATCTTCTGATTTTACATAAAAATATTGTGGAGAAAGGAAGGATCGCTTTGAAGATACAAGTGGTGTGCCTTCAAGCCTCCTCTTCTGAAGCCAGTAGTAAAACCCACATTGATTACAACAGGTAGGACCAGGCCATACACCCAAGATGAGGGGTAAGATGTGCACTTTTCCTTTACCATCTGCATTAAAATAGTATTTCATAATTAAGGAAATCAGTGCATATTAGTGTAAACCACAAAAGGAAGTGATGTCAAATGGTTTCCTCACACAGCAATGAAAATAATAAGGGCCAAAAGGCCCTTCCCAGACAGTCATTTGGGCACGCAACGTTCAGTGTATGCTTGGTGGTTTGTCCCTTAGTGGTTTGCGTGTCCCCTCCAAATCAGCTCAGACTAAACATCCATTTTAAAAACACAGGTGCAAAGGTGCACTACCTCAGGCTGTTAGTTTTTCCCCTCAAAGAGTATTGCAATGGCTTTGAACCTGAGCTTTTGTTTCACTTGACAGATGGAGATGTAGCTCTAAGACCACCTCTAGCAACAGGTGGGCCCCAAGAAGTTAGGAATATTTATGAAGGGAGCAGCTGCTGGTTTCTTCAGTTCTTCTCTATTAGTGCAGACAGGAGGCTGGTGAGGCTATGAGGTGCTAGAAGGGAATCTGCTGGGTATGTAGAGTAGGAAGAGAAAGGCTTACAAAGGTGAATGAGGACCCATGGGAGGCTGCTGCACCACCATCTCCAGGTGCTTTTAGAGGTAGCTGTCTACAGCACTGTTCTCTTTATCTCTCCTCTGCCCAGCCTATTGGTGGTTGGGGATTATGTCCTTTCCACTCTTTAGTGGCAGCAAGGACAGTTCATGTTTAATACCTAGAAAGATACCAAGATCTGTTTCTAAGCACTTAAAGAAAGACAAGCGTTAAGGAATGGCCAAACATGGAATTGTCAGGAGGAAGTCATGTTTAACCAAGCTTGCTGCCTTCTATGATAAGGTGAAAGGGTTTGTGGATGCAGGGAGAGCAGTGGATGTGATACACTGCAGATTTAACAAGGTTTTTGCAATGGGAGACAGTTTAATTCTTGACAGTAAACTAAGGAAAACACAGGCTAGCTGAAACTTATAAGGCGGGTGAATAATTGGATCACTGTGTTCAAAAAGGGATCAATGGCTCAAAGTCAAACAGGGAGGAGGTACCATATGACGTTCCCTGGGAGTCTATCCTGGCTGTGGTACTGTTCCAATATTTTAATCACTCAGGGGTAAATTGAACACACACTTTTTAAATTTACAGATAGCCCCAGACTGGGTGGAGTTGATGCTACAGAGGACAGGATTAAGATCAATACAACTCTGATTTATTAATAAGATGATTTTTCCAATCTATTGGGTTAAATTTAATAAGGACAAGTGCAAAGTGTTATGTGCAAATCATGGGAAGCAAGTCTTCCATTCTATTCAACACTGGTGCAGTCTCATCTGGACTGGAGCACTATGCTCAGTGGTGGGCACTGCCCTTCAAGAAGGAAGTAGACAAACTGGAAAGAATCCAGAGGAAAGCAGCAAAAAATGATCAGAGGTCTGGAAATGATGGTAGACGAGGAAAGGTTGCAAGAACCGAGACCACTTAGTATGGAGATAAGTGAGGGAGATTTGATAGTAGGTCTTCAAATAAAAGAAGGGCTGTTTATCAAGGATGGTTGGTAATCAATTGTTTTCTGTGTTCACAGGGAACAGGATAAGAAGAAATGAGTTGAAATTGCTGTAGATTTTGGTTGGAGATTAGGAAGAATGCTCTAAATATGGGGGTGAATACACACGGCAACAGGGAGTGTGTGGAATCTCCCTTTCTGGGCATTCTTAAGTACGAGTTTGATGGCTCTTTGTTGGGATGGTTCAGGCAGGGATATTTCTGCTGTAGAGCAAGCTGCTGGATCAAATGACCTCCCAGGGACCCTATTTCTTTATGATTCTCTAAAGGGATCTGCCCTTTTCCCCAGGGAAAACCCCCAGCTTCCAAATCTACCTTTCAGTTCTCAACTGCTGCTGCTCTTATGCCTGCCTGTAACAAGCTGAGGAAGCAGACACAATGCCTGGAACAATCCAGCCAATTTCAGGCCCCCAAGTTAACAGGCTCCTTGGTGCAGCTCCTTACCCCGAGTCCCTCTGCCAGCACGTGGGGGCTCAGTTACATGCTTCTGTATCTTAAAGAGTATTCCATGCCTTGCTGTTGCATGAGACCCACACAAACAACATCAGGCAGGCACTGTCCCTAGTCAGCATCATAGCAGTCACCCTGATTATAATAGCAGGCCTTGAAAGGGCACAGACACAGACGAAAGGGCACAGCCTCGCAGGCATTTTTCCTCTCCTTTCAGTTATTATATTAGTCACTCCTGCCAGCACTGAGAGGCAGGAGCTGATTCAAATTGATAGATCTATATTTCAGGCTGTATAAAAGTGTGCCACAGATTGGAGAGGAGAGTGGGGAAAAGGGGGCTGCTCCTTATCAAGTATGCCATAGAACAAAGATGTCAAACTTATGGCCTGTGAGCAGGTTCTGGCCCTTAGAGCCACGTTGTGTGACCCAAGGGACTCGGAGGGGCCAGGAATTTGGGGACACGACTTGCCACCAAAATCAGGGCAAAGAACCCTGTTGGTGACAGGTGTTGGCAGTTGGAGGGGGAGCAGCAGTGACTGCACTAACCCCTGTGGCTGCTACTGCCACATCCAGATCTGGCTCATGAGGGAGACCTGGGGTCTAGATCTAACCTGAGGGCAAAGTGAGTTTGACACCGCTGCCACAGAAAACTGCTGGCACCAGTTCAGAGACTGGTACCATGGCAGGATTCACTTTAACTGAGCAGTGAAGCTCTGGTCTCTCCCCAAGTACAGGTGACCACAAGGAACAGCAGTGACTGCAGAGCAGTCTGAAGCCTGCCTGCTCAGTGTCAGCCATAACACATGATGAGCTGCAAGCAGCACTTTGGCTCCCAGATTGTCTGTGAACATGGCCACGCACTCTTGCCATGCTGACTGTGAACGTGTATGCAGTGAGATGAGAAATTCACTGTTCTCAGTGCTGCAGCCCTGTGAGGATAACCCAGGGAATAATGCCCCTTGCTAACGTTTTCTACAAATACAGTTTGAAGGCAATGGCACAACTGTGAGACTAACCCAAAGACAGAAGCAACTGTTAGATATTCTTTAAGTGCACACATGAAATGCATGCGACTGAGCTGCCAAACTCCTACAAGTCCCATATCTAAATTCTTATCAGACAGCTCTTGCTTTTGTAACACAGATAACACTTAGATCTGATCTTTGTGGCTTTTATTGGACAAATACGCAGAAGAGGAAACTGATGCTAGCCTGATTTGAAACACTGGTTGGTTTGGAAAGGAAAAGGTATCCTTTCCCATTAGCTTAAATCCTGGGGCTTAGCTTAAAAGGAAGTGGTTGAATTCCTCTCCATTTGCAGGCCTTATGAGCAGGCCACACTCTTCTGCTCTCCTGGTCTCTCCTCCCCTTCTTTCAGCAATCTTCTGGGAACTCTTGGGCAGGGGGTTCACCCTTCCCTGGGACTGTTGGCACAGTTTATGGGTCTAAACCAAAATGGCAGT